CCCCAAAACCCCAAAACCCCAAAACCCCAAAACCCCTAGGTATTTCTAATTAATTGAATATGGAAAAGGACGTTGCAACTCTAGAGAACAACTCCAGAGTAAAGACAAGGTATTTTCATGCTAAATCTCCCAACTAAGAGCTATCCAGTTAATAAGGGTACTATAAATCAACCTCATAGTAGTCTTGTGTTTTGTTATTCCGATTCATAACACATGTCTATAGGGAGAACAGATACATGAGCATCAGGGAGGACCAGTAAATATTTATATAAACTTTCAACTACTTATTAGTTCCATTAACTCACCTGGTTTTTAGTACTTTTCTGACTCAAAACCTGCAAATTCCTCGGAAAAGAACCACAAAAGGGATCAAAGTTAGTTCAATAGAGATAATTCATGATGAAAATGATAAAAAGTATGAAACTTTAATGAAATTTTAGAAACGAGGACCTAGCTTTATTCGATTCACCTCCTAAAGACCCACCTGAGGACGATAAGGCCGATGCCCAGGCTGAGGCTGAATTTGAGAAGCTATTATCTCACAGAAAGTGGCTCCACTCTAGGAAGAGGATTAAGCATAATAAAGCTAATATCAGGCTATGCCAAAAACCGCCAGGAACTTCAAGAGATGGGACTAAAGCAAAAGATTTTATGAAAGAATTGAGAATCAACCAATATGGCCAATATATCCAAGAGAAATTAGGCCTTTTCAAGAAGCCGACTAAGCTAGAGCTCATGCTGCATAATTATAAGAGAGGGTATTATAGTCAAGATCAGCAGGAAAATGATATTCTGAATTCTTCAGAATCATTAGCTAAAATCACTAAATAATCACCAAAAGCAAAGTATGAGCATAGAATGTCCTCAGAGGCTCGCAAAGGCTTCTCTGGTCAAGCCGGTCCAACTATCGAGTAGGCCTCATCATCAGAGAAGTGTTGGCAAACCCACTGACTTTTCAGAGAGGTTCCTCTCTAGAGATAAGAGGTCTTCCTATGACTTTGACGAGAAAGACTCGGTCGTATCGAAGAAGTACAAGAAAACATCCAAGGAAGCCATACTGAAGAGAAGTCTTGTAGCATACTCTGCTGATAAATAGACCCAGGCTTAGGCTGTTTAAGAACCAGAGGAATATGGCAAGCACTGCTGCTGAAAGTATCAGGGAGAGAAAACACTTCAAGGATCCCTCAATCATTGCTGGCGATGAACTCAGCTCTAGCAGGGTTGAGCATAAATTAGAAAAGAAGAAAAGCGATTTCTTGACTGCAAATGAAGGCAAACACACAGTCAGAGATTTCTCAGTTAATAATAAAATTAAGCCTGATTGTATCGAAACTCGCTCGATCCAGGATCTATGAAAGATGTTGCACTTCTCTAACAAAAATAAACGTAAGGAAAACTATTTTGAATTTTGAGCGAAATTTCTCAAATCTGAAACATAAAGTTAGATAGTACGAATTTCCAAATAAAAATCCTAGTTGTTTCAAGTTGTTTCCTTCTCTTCCAAATCTACAAGGCAGATATTAGCTTAGCGATAGCAGGAGGGTGCATAATAACATAGAAACTAGAAGAATCCCAAGAAAGATGTTGAAAAAGATTAACACAAAGCTGATAAATATTTTCAGAGATCCCTCAGTGTCCTCCTCTGCACTGGAGTCTGCCTCTCGACGGTCAATTGACAATATAAATATCCTGAAGAATAGTTTGATAGAGAAGCAGGAGAAGGCCAAGCCAAAGAGAGCTAAGAAGCCAAAAGAGACCTTTGAGGCTATCATGAAGCGTATTATGGAGAAAGGAATCAATAGGTAAGCTTATTTAGACAAAATATAGCTCTGAGACTACCCCTAAAGACGACCTGTTCAAAGGAGACAACCTTAAGCTTTACAAGTTCTTCTTGAATAAGCTCCTGAACCAGTCTAGTGATACCTTCTTGTGCAAAAAGCATCATGCTTTTCTAGTCCATCAGAATATGGTGAACAGCGGTCCTAATTTTTATGAAAGAATGGGTCATGATATCTCTACTAGAAAGAACAAAAATCTACAGGCTAGTATAACCCAATTAAGGTCTCGTCAAAGCAATTAGGCGCATTACAATCATGCTGGATATTCGTTAACTTCTGTACTTGCTGAGGGCACAATAGGCTTGGAAATTCCTGGATAACCTCCTAGAAATCTCAAGGCTAGATCCCTGGCATCTCTATGTGAGATACTAACCAGGAGCTTTCTCGTCAAAAGAATTTTATTTAAAATAATTCTTCTGATATCCAATTCAATCTTGAAGTTAGCTAAAGGGGTTTTGGGGTTTTGGGGTTTTGGGG